CAATAATGAAAATAGTCCAGTGCCCACATGCAACAGTGAGGTTTCTTTGTGTCTACCTTTCCTGCTATGGGTGCTCTATTTCTTCTCCTTTGCCTGAGCAGATGCTGCTTGATATTATACCTTTCTCCTAATTCTCAATACTTCTTAATGTCTCCTGCTAAGCAAATTAAGAGATACTATATCCTGCCCCCTCTTTCCTGTTTGGATTTGTTCACTGGGCTTCAGCCTGTTAAGCACTTCCAAATTAAGTCTATGCACCAACTTAGAAGTCAACAGATATACTGGGGGAATACCAAGTCATATACCAAACTTCCATAAAGAACATAATCTAAAGATAAAAGGCAAAAAGCTACTTGGTCATACAGTACATACAAACACAAAGCTGGTTCTTCCTAGACCTTAGGCCTAGATTCTGAAGGAATCTCAGGTAAAAATTAAAAATTAACATGTGAGGGAAACATTTCCTAATTCATTCTATGAAGCCAGCATTACCCTGCTACCAAAATCAGATAAAGACATTACATAAAAGGAAAGCTATAGACTTATATTTCTCACAAGCATAGATGCAAAAATCCTCAACAAAGTATTAGCAAATCAAATCCAACAACGTATAAAATGAACTATAAAGCATGATCCAGTAGGATTTTTTTGAAGTTTGTAAGCCTGATTCGACATCAACAGACTAAAAAATATTCTTAAATCCTATCAATGCAAGCAGACAAAAAAGTTTAACAAATGTTAACAACCAGTCATGATAAAAACTCTCAGAAAACTAAGAATAGAAGAGAATCTCCTCAACTTGGTAAAAAAAGTCTATAAAAATTCCACAGCCAACATCATACTTAATTGTGAGAACTAGATGCTTCTCCTCTTATTATCAAAAACAAGGCAAGAATGTCCCCTCTTACCACTCTTATTCAATGTTGTACTAGAAGTCCTCACTAATTCAAGAAGATACAAAAAGGAAATAAAAGATATTCTTATTGGAACAGAAGAAATAAAAAAAACCTCTTTGTTTGCAGATAACATGATTATCTATGTAGAATATTTCAAGGTATGAATTATCTAAATCTAAAAATCTACTAGAACTAATAGTGAGTACAGAAAGGCCACAGGCTATAAAGTTAATACACAAAAGTCAACTGTTTTCTATATACCAGCAACAGTTAAAAATTGAAATTAAAAATACAATATGATTTATATTTACATTTTTATACCAACAAAGAAATACTAAGTATAAATATAACAAAATATGCATAAGACCTATATGCAGAAAATCATGAAACTCAAAAGGAATCAAAAACTATCTTAATAAAGAGAGAGCTTGTGTTCATAGAAAGGAAGATTCAGTATTTTTAAGATGTCAATTCTTCCCAACTTGATCTACATATACAACACAATAGCAATCAAATCCAAGCAAATTACTTTGTGGCTATCAACAAACTGATTCTAAAGTCTACAGGAAAAGGCAACAGATCCAGGATACCAACATAATACTGAAGAAAAAGAAAGGTAAAATACTGAAAGTACCCAACTTTAAGACTAATTATCAAGCTACAGTAATCAAGTCAGCATGGTATTGGCAAAAGAATAGACCAAGGTTGGGGAACCTGCCACTGTAAGGCCACATGTGGCCTTCTGGGTCATTAAGTGTGGCCTTCTGACCAAATCCAAATTTTACAGAACAAATCCTTTTATTTTTATTAATACATTTTTGTTCATCTTTTATATTTGCATTTTATTTTCAAAATGAACCTATTTAAATTACCAAAAGATAAAAGAAGTCGCAACAGAAAAAAATCCTCCCAGTGTGATCAGCACAATTAGAACAGTAACAAGTAGTAGTAATAAGCCATAGGGCTAAATTGACGGCTGCTAGGCTCAGGATTTATTTCTAACTTCCCCAACCTGACTGGCACCACTACTGCACAAGGTTGTTGGTGAGAGTTTGTGGGGATCAAGTACATCAGTCTGTTATCAGCTTTTCACAACAGTGCACTGTGTTTCTGTTTGAAGTAGAATTTGTGAACAGTTTCACGGGTTGACAGTATTTTTTAATTCTGTCTGTTTAACAGCCTATCATGTCAAAGGAGACCGAGAGAATGCTGAAGGAAGAAAACAGATTTTTAAATGAGGATTGAGAATTACAATATTGTCTTGTTTCTGCTAAAGATAAGGTAATTTGCTTGCTTTATAATACTGCAGTATCAACATTGAAGAAATTCAATGCTCATCAACATTAGAATACTCATAAGGACAACAAATATTTTAAATTAGAGGAAGAGGCATGAAAGGCTGTATTGCAGAAATTAAAAGTTGAAAAGCAAAAGCAAAGACAATTCTTTCAAGCAGCAAAAAGACCTAAAAATAATGCCACTGAAGCAACTTATACACTCGGGGTAGGGGGTGGGGGAAGGGAAGCCATTCAGTAATGTAGAAATTGTGAAAGAAAGCACTGTCGAAGTTGTAGGATGATTAGATCAGATAATGTTTCAAAGTACAAACAACTGTCTCTTTCAAGGAGCACCATAAATGATCGGCAGCATAAATTAGCCTTCAATTTAACAGAACAACTTCACATCATATTTTAAAGGAAAATATATATTATTCAATTACTTTGGATAGATCCACTGATACTACTGACTTGGTGCAGGTTTTATCCTTCATTTGGGGAATAACAGATTTTCTTTGCTACAAAAATTACTCACTTTGGGCACTCTTGCAAACAGAACATGGGGAACAGACTTTTTCAACAACTTTTAAGATAAATGTCATGAAGTTGGACTGAATTTGGTAAATTTAGTATGTGTATGTGTAGATGGTGCACCTTCCATGACAGGAAAACATGAAGGGTTTATTGCATACATAAAAAATTATTAACAGATCCAGATGGTCTCATTTATTTTTACTGTATCTTGTATCAACATAATCTCTGTGCTAAAGCTAATATTTTAAGTGACACTTTGCAACAAGTTATAAGTATTGTTAATTATATTCACCCATATGCAACATGGCATTGTCAGTTTTGTAACATGCTAAAGTTGAATGATGAGGTATTTAGAGTGGATTTGCCATATCATTCTAAAGTGCATTGGCTATCACAGGAATAGGTATTAGACAAAATTTTAGCTTTGTGAGAACACATAGAAAACACATCTGTTTTATGAAGAACAGAATCAGCAATGCGAATTCTTGAAAGAAGATTTCTATAGGAATGCAGCATTTTTGTGTAATATATCAAATCAAAATGACTTGAATATTTATTTGCAAGGGAAAACTAAGTCTATGTATGATATGTGGCAAAAAATCCAAGTATTTTGAAAAAAGCTATCTCTTTTCAAAATGTGTTTTGCAAATATTTTCTTCCAGTCTGTGGCTTGTATTTTTATTGTCTTAATATTATCTTATTCTGAAAAAAATATTTTTAATTTTAATAAAGTTCAACTTATCAATTTTTTTGGCATAGATGATGCTTTTGTTGTATGTGAACACTCACTGCCCAAATGAAGGTCACTCACTTAAGTTTTCCCCTACGTTATCTTCTTAAAGTTTTATAGTTTTGCATTTTTCAATTTAGATCATGATCTCTTTTGAGCTAATTTTTGTAAAATGTCTAAGTTTTGTGTCTAGATTCATGGTTTTTTTTGCATATATATATATATATATCCAGTTGTTCCAGCACCATTTGTTGAAGAGACCATTCTTTCTCCAATTCTCCACTGAATTGCCTTTGTTCCTTTGCCAAAGATAAGTTTACTCTGCATTTGTATGGGCCTACTTCTGCCCCCTATATTCTGTTTCATTGATCAATTGGTCTATTCCAGGAGTGGGGAATCTTTTCATGTTGGAAAGCCACATTAATTTAGCATTATTCAAATAAGATAGCATTCAAGAAACTTCAATTAGATATACTTAAAAATGTAAATTATTTTGTAAAACTCTACTATGTACTTAATAATTTCAAGAAATGAAAGCCATTATATTTGTTAATTTTAAAGTTAACCAACCATTTAATGACTTTTGTATATGCTTTTTGTTGGAAAGCATTTGAATATTTGGTTGCAGCATGGAGGTCCACAGTTTCAGTTGATCCTCTAGATAGGTATCAGTCATTTGTGACCTTAAAGGCATCTTGACTTGGGTTAGGTAGGAGAATGCAAATTTGCAACAATATGTGACTGAAAAACAAGAAAGCATTTTTCGAACGTGTTGCTGAGGGCATGCATATTCTGTATTTTTCCATTTTTCAATTGGATCTTCCTTAGCATCAAACTATGACTTTAAAATGTCATCTAAGAGCTCAATCAATTCTATCTGTAGTTCTTTAGGTGCCTTGGTGATATCAACTAGGTGAGGCTGAAATGCTAATTTGAGGGTGATGTCATGATCGTCGAAATGAGTGAATCTTTCATTGTATTCTCCAATTAATAGGTCTACAATAGGTCCATACTCTTCCAATGATTCTCTTCTATCATCCTGCTCATCAATGACCTTTGCTAACCGGGGAAAATGTTCAACTGAAATTTTCTTTTGAAGAAGAAATGTTTTGAAAAGACATTGATATGAGGTGACAAAAAACTGTGCTTTACCCCATGGTCTTCCTCCCAAAATCCTAAGTCCCAGTTTAATTAAGAGGAAAAACATCAGACAAATTCCAACAGAGGGACATCCTGCAATATACCTGAACGGTATTCCTAAAAACTTTCAGGGTCGTCAAAAGCAATGACAGTCTGAGAAACTTTCAGAGCCAAAAGGAGCCTAAGGAGACGTGACAACTAAATGTAATTTGTTATGCTTGATGACATCTTGAAACAGAAAAAGCATGCTTGATGAAAACTAAAGAAATCGAAGTAGACCATGGATTTTAGTTAATAATAAAATATCAACATTGGTCCATCAATTGTAACAAATATGCCATACCAATATAAGATGTTAATAAGAGAGGACATTTTGTATATGGGGGAAGGGCATTCATGAGAACTCTGTACTATCTACTTAATTTCTCTGTAAACCTAAAACTTAAAAAAAAAAGTATATTAATTAAAAAAAAATAATGTGTGAATTATAATAGTAAACCAGGGCCATATTTTAGAATATTTGGCAGCCAATTTTTTCAAAGTACATTTAGTGACAGGAGACACACTCACACTATAATGTAAGTGAAACAAGGAGGATGCAAACTAATTTTAAAAGTACAGATGTTCATCTACTTACGATGGGGACACATCCCGACAGACCCCTTGCAAGCTGAAAACATCACAAGTAGAAAAGGAATTTTAATACACCTAACCTACCGAACCTCATAGCGTAGCTTAGCCTACCTTAAATGTGCTCAGAACACTTAACGTTAGCTTACATTTGGACAAAATCACCTGGCAACACAGTGCCCTATGGAGTATCAGTTGTTTACGCTGACTAAGAGCTGTGGCTCGCTGCTCTGCCCAGCACCAGTAGAGAGTACCCTACTGCATATTGCTAGCCTGGGAAATGATCAAAATTCAAAATATAATTTTGTACTGAATGCATTTTGCTTTCACACCAGCATAAAGTTCAAAAATCATAAGCGGAACCATTGACAAAGCCCATCATGCAAAATGGAATTTGTAAAAATAATGAAATACATTATAAAATGTATAAAAATGAAGAAGAAATGTAAAAAAAATGTAAAAGAAATATAAAGAAATGTAAAAAAAAGAAATACATCATAAGGCTAAGAGTCATACCAAAAGGCTATAACTGCAGGTGATTTTTATTTCCTTTCTTACAATTTATGTTTTCAAAACAATTTTTATTGTAAGACTGTGTTATTTTAGTTCCAGGAAAAACACCACAATATTAGAAAAATAAAATTGTCTGGGTCCTCCTCAAATTTCCATTTTTATCTCCATGAGAATGAGAGGGGATATAAGATAACAAAATATCAAGTCTTTGGCTGACAATATTATCTCTAAAATAACTTCCAATTTAAGATCATGAGAATTGCATAAATTTTAACCAAAATCCAGATCCTTGCTATACATCTGATAGGGATCCAAAAATATTTAATTACCACATGACTCCCAAATACACTGGTTAAAATACATTTTATGTCAGATATACTCATAATTTACCAGTGTCTTAATAGACCAGAAATGAGTCAAACTTAGTGTTACATGGTGTATGTGCAGTATATTTTTGGTGTAAAGTATGTCTTTGCAAGTCGTGTTTGTTTTGTTTGTTAGCTTTAAATTTCCATCTGATTGAAATAGGAGGCATGTTTTTGTATCCAAGATGGATGGACATACTTTGAAATAGGAGTTAGTCATCATTTGTAGCATAAAGGATGACTGTCAATCATATATAAGTTTGTACAATTTGTATCAGCTGTTTCATTGGTTTGTTTGCTTTAATTTTAAGATTAGTTCCTGTGCTTATCACCTGCAGGCTACTATCAGTAACTATTAAAGAGATTTGGAAGATGAAATCTTAAAAGAAAGACTCGCAGGAATTTGAACAAATGGGAACTTAAGCATGTCTAACAGTTAAAGAATCAGTAGTTTTTAAATATACAATAGGGCAAACCATATTAATTTTGGACTATAAGAAATAGACCTATCAAGGTAGGATCAAATGTATTAATGTATAAAGGTTTCAAAATGCAATGAAATTCTAAAATGATCCTCGAGGAGAAAAATAATGGAGATTAACAAACTAGACTGAAGATATTTGGCAGGTAGGTGACTATTCTGGGCTCTCCTGCCACATTCTCTTCTCCAATCTTTCAGCTTCACTTAACCACAACTTACTCGTGTGTGAAAGTAACATCACAACATAAACTAATGATTTAAAAAATTGAGATAGACGTGCTTAAGAGTCTCTGAAAAAAAAAAAAAATCCATCCTCACAGCTCTGGGTTTCTATTTTGTCTAATTTAAGAGTATAAGGTGAGAAAAAGAACCAGAAGTTAAATTCAAAACATGACAATTAGGAAACAGCAACACTTTTGCTTTCTTTTCCAGCCTTTACCTTCTGGCTCATTCTTGATGAGCTCTTCCATTTTCCTCTGCTTCAAGGTGTCAACAACATCAGCTAAACTGCCTTTGCGCCGCTCAGGAGTTCCCAGGGCCGTACTAGACAAGGACTCGCCACTCTGCCGCCCACCTTCTTCTGCCTTCTGAGGTGAGGTAGATGAGTTGTGTGGGGCAAATGAAGACATAATTTTATTGCCATCAACTTCCTGAAAGAGAGAGCAAAGTTAAAAGAAATATGTTTGTTTAAAACTCAGTAACTGTAAAAAAAAAAAAACAAAAAAAAACTGGTTATATGGCTTAGTCAGCTGAAACATGTAAGAAAAATGCGAAATGTCACTCTGCAAGAACAAAAGGAACAAAGAAATTTCAAGAAAGAACAACAAACCTTTACTGGCTAGCACTAGAGAAGTCAATGATCACAGGAGAAACCAAAAATATGGAGACTCTCTCCCTTGAACTGAGTACAAATGGCAATATAATCTTATACAAAGTCTACATTGATTGCATTTGTCTATTTTTCTGCTTTTGCTTTAATTTTATGTCAGATATACTGAGGCAGATTTTTCTGGACCTTAAATATAGTGGTCATCTGTGTTAAACGTCCTCATGACTTTGTAATATTTAAATAAATAAATATAATATTTAAATATTAAGTATTTTAATATTAAATAATTAAATAATTTTAGTATTTAAATAAATAACATTATATATGCTTTATTTTCACTTTCAGTAGCTGCTTCTTGATAATATTTCTAAATAACTAAAGCTTTAGTTTTAGTTCTCTACCCCCCTCTCATGCTTTTAAGAGAGCATCAACCACACAGTGTATTTTGACATCAGACAAGAATACTGCAAGTGCATTTTTTGCTTATGTTGAACACATTTTCAAGCTCATTTGTCCTTAGTACTGTTTCTATCAATACTCTTTGCTACTTTGAACTTTAAGCCTCCTTTGGCCTATAAAACAAAGTTTCTGGTAGTTTTGGCTTCTTCATAATCATGTATGTATATGAATGGAAAAAATGTATTCTACAATTCTAAAATGTAAATCTTTTTGTATTCTATTGTTATCATTTACCCCACAATTTATAGCACAGCTTTTGCAATCTGTAAAACATTTGGAGTATATTTTTTCTAAAAGACACTAAATTGATTTTTCAGACTTTTTCAGGAGGAGTGATACTGAAATTAATTTTCCTACTTACAGGTTTTCCTTGTTTAGTCTCTTCCATAATGCTTTACTTCCCACAAAACAGAAGTTTTCTTAAAAATAAAGCTATATCCTAAGATCTTTGAGTCTCACCCTAAGTATATTATATAATTCTACAGCATGGAAAGTTTCCATTAAAATATAATATTGAGGATAATAGATTATAACCGTTTAAACATTTCTTCTCTACTTATTTATGACATATTCTCTACCTATTTAAGATAATAGGATCTGTTGACTCCAGAAAAGTGACAAGTCACACTGGTTGATCGCTAATGTTTTTAAGCTAATGTTTAAGCTAATGTTTTAAACTAATGTTTTGGTGGATATTTTTGACGAGCTTAAAAGTATACTAAAATACTTGATTTAAAAACTGACATCCTAATTTTTAAAAATAGATTAAATTAGAGATGTCAAAACAAACAATTTGTTGATAAGATCTTTTTGTGAACAATACTAGTGAGCACAGGGACAATAACTATGTTACAAACATCAGTTTGTTGGATGAGTCTGAGGCATCTGGGGAAAGCAAAAATAAAAAACGTGCACCAACAGAATCTTCCAAATTACAGTTCTAAATCTCAAATGCTTTTGATTTCTTACAAACATTACAGAATATCCCTCTAACTAGTATCGTGCCTTGACCGAAGATTCTATAGACAATTAGCTTATAACATACTTGGATTTAGGAATCAATAAGCATAATGTAATAATTACAAGCCCCTGCAAGTGAAGTTAAGGTACAATTCTGGAATTATTTATTTAAAAACCACACATAGAAACAAGTAAACATGCAGACACACATACGCACACACACCCTGAGGAGAACAATCACAAATTCATTCAGTAAATTAATAGGAATATTTTTATGAATGGCCCACAATACATATTAGCTTAGTTTCATGTGCAAACCAGAATATGGCAAAACCTCTATGTTCATTCCCACAGAAGACCTTTCTGTTACATCCTTCCAGAGCCACAAGCAGAAACATATCAATGTTAGCTTCAAGATGAACACTTCTATTTGTACTGTGTTTTTACATTATGGGACGACAAACTTTTGAAACAAGAATTTGGCAGCTGACCTTTATTCGCCATGATTAAAAAATTACACACATCTTTCTACAGCAAATCATCACTAAGGCTATCACACCCAAATCTGTATGCAATCAAGTCTATTAAAGCATCAAGAAATATTTACGGATGAAGTACCCCATTTTGGACGTCTCTCACTTTTTACACTTTCAAATAGGAAGGAAACATTTTCAAAAGTTTAAGATATTTCACAAGTAGTCTAAACTCAGTTGCTGAAGCAGTATAATATAAATAAATTAATTAAGCATTATTGCTATTTCACGCAGGAATATTTATCATACCACTATTTCACCTGCCTGATTACATTTCAGCCTCTGGCACTGTTAATCCCTTTAACAGATTTATATGGTTAACAGCTGTTTCAGTGTGGGACTCCATTGTTCATTTGCATGGTGAATAGCTCGTTAGAGACTGCCAGCACAGTCTTCAGTCAAGGAAGTCCTATCTTTTTCAGTTTCTTTCCTGGGATTGCATTTGCCATACGCAAAGTAATGACTGCATGTTTCTCTTCACCTTGGGGCCAGGTAAAAATCCAGAGGGTCAACTACCTAAGGCCTAAGTGGTCCAGTAACATATATTTAATCAAGTCTTTGAACTCTAAAGACAAGCTTCAAGTTTTTTGCAGACAAGCTCCAAGAACTGGGATGTATGCCTTCTAAAGCCTATTGATAAAAGAGGATTCTAAACTTTCATAATGAAGTTGATAATCTTCCTTTGTTATTCTTGAACAAGATTTACTTAATCTTACTCCCTTTGTCACCTTTGCAACAGAAAAAAAAAAGAAACTACCTAACGCACTTATCCTCAGAAATATCCTTTTTAAAATGCCTTCTTCTTAATTCATTCTAAAGACAGCATTTTGCCATGAACACTTTAAGAGAAATATTAATATTATTTCAACCTTAATATTTAAATTTTAATTGATATGATGTGGTCATTAAGAATTTTTTTTTTTTTTAAGAGACAGGATCTCACTTTGTGGAGTGCAGTGGTGCAAGCATAGCTCACTGCAACTTCAAACTCCTGGGCTCAAACCATCCTCATGCCTCAACCTTCCAAGTAGCTAGGACTATAGGCATGCAGTACCATACCCAGCAAATTTTTTAATTTTTTGTACAGAATGGGTCTTGCTACATTGCTTATGCTGGTCTCAAATTCCTAGCTTCAAGCGATCCTCCTGCCTCAGCCTGGCCTCTCAAAGTGCTAGGATTACAGGTGTGAGACACCATACCCAACCAAAGAAGAATTAATTTATTTAAAAAATAAGAAATCACATGGAATGACCAGATCTACATGTTTCTTTTATTATTCAAATGGCATTTTATTCTTTACTTCAGGTCTCAAGAAACATATTATCATGCTTACTCTCACTCCTACAAAACTGAATTAAATTACTACAGGGTAGTAAAAATATTACATTTAATACTCAATCTATCAGAAAATAATTGATAAGAATAACAGCTTTCATTCAATACTTCATGTCAGGCATTGTATAAAGTGACTTACATGTATTAACTCAATCCTCATGGAAAGTTGATTATGATATCCATTTTACAGTGGAAGAAACTGAGGCAAGTAGACTGAAGTAATGCCTGGGGTCACAAGACTAATAAAATGTCGAATAGAAAATCAACCCCAACCCATTGGGCTCCAGAGGCCTTGTTCTTAACCACAGTGTTGTTATGCCTCTTTCTTTAAAAATAAAAAAATCTATGTCTATGTCTGTATCTATGAATCTTATGGGTGAACAAGACATGTCTTCTTAGTAATGATGTATGAAAACGAGGTTTCCACCTCAATATGTTCACACTACTAAAGAAATTGTATAGACGCATTTAAATTAAGTAAATCAACTACATTCCAGATTTATAAATGTCCAACCAAATATCTACTGTTTACGTCATATGTAAAAAAATGAACTTTAAGGTTTAAAGAATTATTTAAACCAAACAGGTAGATTTTATTTCTAAGTGGCTAATCAGAGTAATGGTACTCAGTAGTTTATGTGTTGTTGTTTTTTTAACTATCTTTATAAAATTTGTGGACATCTCTAGCAGCCACTCTAATAGTAAAATAAAATTTTGAACTTAGAAAAAAGCTAGTACAGAAGATTTTGATTATCATTAAGTAGTCTCATTAATTCAAGTTCATTAATTTTGATATTGCAAAGATGTAACATAAAATGAATCACAAATACACAGAAAAAGTGCTTTCATGCTTAACAAGTTTTGACATGGTCATCTACTTCTAGCAATGGGCTGTTCTTGTAAATATCACCAAGACAAGGTAAAACAAAACTTTGAAAAATATCTTCAAAGCTATATTATTTGGTTATTGCTTAAATTCTATAAAAAGAGGAGAAAAATATATCTTTCACAAATATGGAAATGGAATTTCACTACTTGTAAATTTTTTTCTGTGAAATTAGGAGGTGCCAAGTTTAATTTAGTAATATAAAAAATATGATTACTGTATAAAAAACTTTTTCAGTTATTTTTGAAGTTTTCTTCATTAAAACATTTTTTCATACAATTTCTGCATGAAACCACACTAAATCATGCTTATTCCTTTTGGATTACAGATCTCTTGATGAAAGCTATAAATGCTCTCCTAAACATATGTGCACATACATATGCACACTCATGCAATCGTACATACAATTTCATTAAGTTTTATAAAGTTAATTTTCTATTCTTATAGTTCCAGCTGTTGGACTACTCCATAAAATCCCCTAGGAACTCTTATGAACTATGGATTACATTTTAAGAAGCTCTGACCTAAATGTATATCTTCCCAGATAATTACAATTAATATAAACTAATCAATATATACAATCAGATGGTTTTAAGCAACAAGTTATTTGCAAAAATGCCTTCAACTATATCTTTCATTGTTAGATCT